AAGTTTCCAGATCTTGGACAAATGGTATGCTTCACAAGGGTAAGCAAAACAATATATGTGAAATATAATTCAATAGGAGGGTTTTGGAGTAATAAGTGTGTTTTTTTTCAGTGTAGTAAGAAAGATATGAGGGGGAAAATAATGAAGTGAGCAGAAATTGTTGACTCATTGCTTGCTCTCAGGGGGACTATGAGAATCTTGAGTGCAGACTAACTGGAAATTGATTCCTTAACAGGTTAGAAAATGTGGCACTCAGAGGATTCATATCATAGAATAAAAAGTGTGGGACAAAAAGCTGAGCAAGCTACTCTGATATTTTTGACTGTCTACACAATCACAAACATATGAATTATGTGCATGAAAGGCTTCCAGAGATAAACAATAGTGTTATTGTCAACAGGTGGTCAAATTTTGAAAAGTAGATAAAATCAGCTAGATGAAGCAATCTGCTATTCAGCACATTTTATATCAAAATAGACAGTAAGTAGTGAGTGCCACACCTGAACTTAGGTGTTTCTCCAGACATCTGGCCATGTTGTTTATAATTATGCCTGAGTCTCGCTTCATGAAGCTAAAAGTATCTAAAAATCAAATGTATGGGGAAGGGATAGATCTTAGCCTGGCTTTAAAGTTACTAGGTATCTTTTTTTTTTTTTAAGACTTATTTACTTATGTATACAAGAGTTGAGGTCTAGGTCACAGATGGGGGAGTGAAAAAGGGGGTGAGACGATTCTCCAGGGACAGTGTGGAGCAGAACAGACAAATCTACTGAAATACACTGCTGAGGGGTGTACTGGGTGAGACAGGAGAGGCCTGCTGTGCCAGGTGGATTACCTCCCTGGTCAGGGATGGAACTCATGCCACAGTGGCTGTGGTTAACTTCATAGTACTGTGGTTTAACCCACTGCACCAATCTGCGAGGGCTCATGGTGACTGGTTTAAAAGAGGGAGATGTCTTGTTCTTATAACCTTTTTTTTGTTTTTTAAAGATTTAATTATTTATGCATGTAGAACTGGGGTAGAGGCCAGAGATGCAGGGGCGGTGAGAGGATTCACCAGAGGCAGAGTGGGGGGCAGAACAGGCCGACTAAAGGGGTACACTGCTGAGGAGAGCAGCAGGCAGGTCAAGAGCAGCAGGCAGGTCAAGACCACATGCCGCACCATGTGGTCACCTCCGGGGCGGGGATCACACTCATGCTGATGTAGCTTTGGCTTCTTAGTTCTGTGCTTTAACCTGTTGCGCCACCAGGGAGGGCCCTCTTATAACCTCTTTTAAGGAAGAAATGATTTTTGGTGACTACTATTCTAACCATAATTCCATTATAGTTGTCTTTTCTGCTATATTTATCAGTAGTTATTTGGGCAAGTAGTATGATGAAAACTCTGAAGTATTCCCTGTTCTACTGGTTATGATAATCTTTGTGAGAAAGATGTACATTAATCTTAGTGGAATTTTAGAACAATGGTGAACAGTCACATTTTGAATTTGAGTTTTTTTTTCAGAATGGAGAGAACTGAATATTAAGAAAGTATTAAGGAAAATTATAATTATAATTCATGAAAAAATAATTTTGATAAGTTTAAACCTTGAAAAATAAAAAAAAATGTAGTTTTTAGTTGGCAAAAGGGAGTAACAAAAGGGGCAAAAACTCAGTCAATTTGATTTAGCAGTGGGAAATAAAATGATTATGTAAGGGGAACCATTTATTTCATTCATACAGATAAGGAAAAATTCAGAGTATTTGGAAATTGTCTTTATAACTGTTTCTATTCAAAACTGTGACTTGGAGTTTAGGGTTCTTGTTGGAGAGCAATAAAAACCAATTCTGGTTAACTCAGAAAAGAAATGCAATCAGCTCAAAGAATGTGACTAGTCTACCAAAATTAAAAAAAAAAAAAAGGAAATACAGAAAATAGGGGAAGGACAGGAGTAGGCAGAAGGAAATACAAAGTCCAGTCTCAAAACAGTCTAATCATGGAAACTCTATTAGTCCCATTTCCTCTGTTGTCTGCTTTTCACTATTACGAATATTGGGTTCCTACAGTCACTATTCTCAGAAGATGGGTGTTGGGTCCCAGCCGGGATGAGCCTCCCCCGGAGCTTAAGCACAAGATCATAATGGGAAGAAGACAATCTTGCCCCTTTGGGCAAGATGATTAATATCCACCCTGATCTCAGTGGCACATGTGAGGGAGATTTCCTCCTGCCCCCAGGCCAACATCCTGGGATTAAGGGTATAAAAGGGAGGCTGGAAAGGATAATAGGGGAGAGAGAACGTTTTGCTGCAACCATCTGCATGTGCTGACTCTTCAACCTCCACATCCCCCGCGCAGACTCGTATCCCTGCCGTGCGGGTGCAGCAATGGGAAGAGGGAGACTCCCAATCACCTAACCTCAGTTTCCCCAAACAGGAAAACAGTTCAAGATATTGTTTAGCACACAAAAAGAGAAACAAAGTAATCAAAACTGGCCTTCCAACTCCATGCTCATTCCTATCATCTTGTCCTTTTTTAGTTATCCAGTTTCTCTTGTTCTCTTTATTTTATTTATTTATTTATACATACAGAACTGAGGTACAGGCCAGAGGTGCTGGGAGGGGTGGTGGTGGTGAGAGGATTCACCAGAGACAGAGGAGGGAACAGGACAGGCAGATCTACTGAAATACACTGCTGAGGGGAGTAGCAGGGAGACAGGATAGGTCTGCTGTGCCATGTGGGTCATCTCGCTGGCTGGGGATCCCAACTGGTATTGCAGTGGCTGAGGAGAGCTCCACAGTGCTGAGACTTAACCCCTTGCTCCACCAGGGAGGTCCACTTGTTATTCATGGTGCCACTTTGCGCTTGTGGCAGGAGTGCTGTGGGCCAATCCCTTTTGGCTGGACTTTTGCCCATGAGAGGATGGGTACCTTTGCATTCTTGACTTAGAAAAACTATAGTCTTTGTCTTTTCTATATTGTTTACTATTGTATTCAAATTCCGTTCCATTGAAGGTCTTATATGTTTTGTCTTGATATGGCAGATGGCAGAACCCATTTAAAACAGGTAGGTTTGGGGGTCTGGAGTGTCCCTCTCCCTGCTCTGTAACATATTCTTTCAGTTATTTTAAATTAAAAAACAAACAAACAAAATCAACCCAAACAGTATGCCTAAAAGTTTTATAAACATATTCATAGTACATTATCAGTGGTCAATTTACTAGCTGTATACTGTTTTACCAGTAATCCTTGTGTGTGTACTTCTCTTACTAGTAACGTTGTTTTATACAATTTATATTTCTTTTTGGGATAATTTAAAATTTTTATCCACTATTGATTTGAATATTTTGATCCCCCCCCCATGTTCTTTTCAATGTTATTTATATTTTAACAGGAAACAAAACTTTCATTACAATTAATGGAGCTGTAATGATGGAATACCAGGTTGTGAAAACAAAACAAGACAGTGATTTAAATTCAAGACCCTCCAGTTGTTAGTAGGTTGGTAAAACCAAGTATACTATATCGGATGAACCTAGGTCAAGAGAAGCCTGGAAGGCTCTTTTATTTATTAATGGACTTAATCCAGTATGTTTCCTTTGTTGTTATTACCTCAGGTTATTTGACATCACAGACAGTTATACTGCCTCAGATAGAAAGATGATTTCATTTTAAAAACATTTGCAATAGAATTGTAGGGAGAGGATTAATATCCTGCAAAACACTCTACAGAGACTGTGGTGTATTTTGAATAAAGGTTGTTAATCCTTAGGAGTCCCTCCCCCATACATGCTGAATACTAAGAACTGTATTGAACCACCATATTTTTTCTTTTAACATAATTTATCCATTCAGCATTTACTGAGCACCTACTAACTCCCCAGGACTTCTCAGCTCACTACATAGGTCAGAGATGACTTCACATTCTGTTTAGGGGCAGGTTGCACAGTAAGAAATCCCGAGAATACAGCCCAGACTAGAAGAATTCAGCTCTTGCCCAAGCTGATAAATTGAACTGTGGAGAGTTCCCAAAGCAGTGTTAAATTCACAACTACAGCCCAATACAGGACTTGACTGGCAGAAGGCTGGTTGCTAATTACTACTTAGTCATCCTTCAAGGTAGCTGATATCCCTAAACATCAAAGCAGTAACGGTTTCAGGCCCCAAGTGCAATTCTGAGAAGTATTAATTGAAAATTAGCTATGGCTCTTATTTGAAATTCTAACCAAATCAAACGTGGCTTATTTATAGTCTGAGTAATGCTTTTGGCAGACCGAACTATGTTGTACTATTTCTCGATCCGGACGAATTAAGGTTAGCTTTTGTGTTCTGCTTTCTTTTTACGCCTATGCCGCCTTCCCTAAGGGGCAGCAATGCTTTAACGACATCGCGAGCAGAAAAAGCATCTTCTGACGCAACGCGCGAACAAGTCGAAAGCTCCGGAATGGCGTGAGCTTCGTTAGACTTAAGTCAGAAGCCACTCAAGGAAGGATTTATTCGTAACCATTTTCCTACTATCCAAGTGCGTTTGGTGAATCTTAGATGAAAGCAAAACCAAGGGTTTCCAGAGGCATCCAAGCAAAGTGGGCGCCTCCTGGCGTCGGGAAACGCGACCGTAACATCGTCTTATCCTGAGATTAGCTTTTCGTTTCTGGCTCGGTCTAGTCGACCCACAGGTAGAATGACTAAAACAAGCAAAACTCTGGGCGCCACTGAGAGCTGAGCGACACCCTAAGCGAGGTAGACACACCAACTAACAGCACCCATGGGCCCCGCGACATCACCGCCCAGAAAAACGCGCCGCCCTGCCGTTTACAGCCAGCCCAGCCCGGGCGGGCGCAGTGTGCTAGAGGGCGGAGCCGCCAGAATCTCGCGCGAGACAATTCGCGCGACTTCCCAGAAAGCCTCAGGCAACATCTTAACAGCGGCCAGGGAGCCGGTTTAGAGCGGAAGAGTGGGCGGGGCCTGTCCGGCTATTTAGCGGCCCTGGAGGCCACGCCCCCAGTCGGAAGTGACGGCGACGAGCTCTCGCGTCGAAGCTACCTCTATGGTTTTCCTCCCGTTCTTGAGTCGGGAGATGGCCGCTGTGTAGTTACCACGGAGCTAAGTCCCGGCAACCGTCCTTTGGCGTGTCAGGTAGGCCGCTCACTGCATTTAAACAACCTAAAGGGCACTGTATACCGAGGACGAGTGAGTATTGTTGAATCTTTTGTGGGTGGCGACGAGTTGGCCGCCACAGGAGAACCCAGGAGACGGTGCGCCGTTATTTACGCGTTTCTCTGTTAGCTTCCCTAAGGGTTTTGAGGTGCTGCGGGCCGAAAAGGAGTGTGTTCAGGGGGGTAGGGTAGGCAGCGAGTACGGTGTGCGTGCGCGCGGTTGCGAACCTGGCCCGAGACCCGGAGACCGCGCGGCCTTCTCGTGCGCGTGCGCATCTCTGTCTCCAACCCTTCCCCCATTTCCTCGGCTCTGACCCCTGCGCGCGCCCGACCGTCGCTCGTCCTGCGCACGCGCGCCTGCCTTTTTTTTTTTCTCCCTCCTCCACCGCCTTCGGCCTCCGCTGGAGGTACAAGTTGTGTTCGGCTTTCATTGGCTGGCGTCGCTACTTTTCTTCTAGGCCTTTGGAGATTTGACAAAACAATTGACTAGCCAGCCGGGTATACTGGGGTAGGTCGACCTTTTCCTGCGTCATCTTTAAATCCCTTTTCCTAGGTTTCACTCAGGCGGTTTACGATTCAGTTTTTGTTTTATTCTGGCGTCGGAGCCTGCCTGCCTCCGCCTCTGGCGCTCGGGGTTGCTGGGAAATTTTCTCAGGGGCTAATTTAGGGTCCCCTTGACAACCCTCTGTTTTGAAGTGAAGGTGCAGTCTGGACTGCAGGGTCTGGTGCCTAGTTGTTGGTGTTAACACAGGGTGCGGGCCGCAATCCATGAATCTTAGAGTGGCTTTGCCACACGCGGGCCGAAGGGGCCGCCCTGCAGCGGCAGTGGAGCCGTGGCCACGTTTCCTCCCCCCTCCCCCCCACAAAGTAATTTAACTCTGAACTTCGTGGGAGAAATGTTGCACGTGATTGGTGGACACTGGATAAATGAATGGGAGGGTATGGTGAGTTGAGAATAGGGACCTTGCCCTTGGTTTAAGTCCGTAAAATTGACTTTGTTTACTTTTAAGTTTTATCTCATCAGAATCAGGCAGCAACATTGGCAGCTACTTTTTTACGTGAAAAAATTGTCTTTCAGCGTTTTAGAAGGTGAGACATTAAGACTAGATTTGAAAGCAATATGACTCCAATATGATGTAAAGAGAACCTATTTCAGATTTGTATCCTACTGCAGCAGTTTTTTTTTACCAAAAAAGGAAAACATTTTTATCTGCTTCTAGCCAGTTTAGGATAAGTCATTTTATGGACTGGAGTGTATGTATAAAATGATAAAACAGCCCAAGTCTGTCTGCTAATGGCTTGTGGAACCTTATTTTAAGATTATTGAATATTCTGTTACATTATGGTAAATATTGGAATATTACTAATTCAAATAATTACTGTGGTGGCTAGAGCTGATTCTTGACTTAGAACAATGGTGTGGAAGAACTTTTGAGAAATATCTAAAAACCTGGCACAGATCTATTGGATTTTATTTAATGGTTTGAGTGGGCTTCTAGACTCGAAGATTGTGTGGAGAACAGTCATGGAAATGGAGAAAAGATAATCGGCTTAATAGAGTTTTGAATTGGGAGATTCCGGAAACTACATTCAGAATCATTAATTGAACGCTAGTCAGTCGAATTGCACTTTGTAATTTACAGTGATATATATTCATCAACAAAGCAGTGATAGGCATCGACAGCCACTGCGGCACAGGTTCGATTCCTTGCCAGGTAACTGACCCACATGGCTCAGCAGACCTATATTACCCTCTGCTCCCTTCAGCAGTGCATTTCAGTCAGTCCACCTATTCGGTTCAGACTGTATCTTTGGTGAATCCTTTTACCCCTTCCCCCTCCTCTGGCCTTTATCTTAGTCTTTGTATGCATAAATATATCTTAAATTAAAACAAAACAAAACAAACAAACAAAAAGCAGCAAATAAGGGAACCCGGAAGTCTAAGATACCTCTAGATACTAAGCCTAAATATTTGTTATACTTGAAGGTTATGAATTTGTTCATTTTTCACATTCAGCTTTTTAAACAATGGTCATCATTGTTCTCAGTTTTAAGCATTTAATATTTTGATTGCCCGGCAGACTTTAGTATTGCGGTAATATTAATCTCATTTGTGTAATATTTTGTAGGTTTCAAATACTTTTAATTTTAGTTGACCCAGTAACCAAAAGGATAGGAAATTTGTTTGAGGCCTCATACCAGGGAATAGCAGAGCCTGGTACAAAATGCAGGTATTCAGATCTTCACCGCAGTCCCTCTTCACAATCCCATTTTCACAGTATAACAAGTTGAAAATAGACATTTGTGACTTAACCAATTTTTTCTAAGCTTTTAATTGCGAAAATTATCTAACAGGAAAGTAGGATAGTAAAACTTCTGTGTACTAATCAACTCGGTTTAATCAGCATTTACCAGTTTTTGATACTTGCTTTTTTCCTTGAGTGTTACAAAGTAAAATAATAAGTCAATTTCTTGACAGAGGTAGTGCTAATTAGTGCTTTAAAGAAATACTTGAACAACCTTACATACCGGAATCATTTGAAGCAAAAATAATCTGTGAAAGACTATCACAAATCATGTTCACCAAAAGTGAAAGCTAATGTTTGTATACAATATGCCAAACATTAAGCAGTTTACATTTAGTTGAGTTCACTTAATCTGTTAAAAGTTGTAAGTAAAGGACCTTTCTTAGTTTTGTTTTATATTCCTGAAAATTGAAGCCAGAAGACATTTAAGGTAATTTGTTGGTCGGCTAGTTAATGAATTGGAGCTATACTCACGGGATGGTGTCTTTAGGATTTTTTTTTTTTTTTTAAAGATTTATTTATTTGTACATACAGAACTGGGGTACAGGCCAGAAGCTCAGGGGCGGCGAGAGGCTTCACCAGAGACAGAGTGGGGAACAGAACAGGCAGATCGACGAAGTACACTGCTGAGGGGAGCAGCGGGCGGGTCAGGAGAGGTCTGCCACGCCATGTGGTCACCTCCGGGGCAGGTGGGAATCGAACTCATGTGGAAGCGGCTTTCGCTTCTCAGTGCTGTGCTTTAACCCGCTGCGCCACCAGGGAGGGCCCGTCTTTAGGATTTTTAAAGGTCTGCTTTGAGATAATTCATTCACACAAATCTGGAGTCTAAACTCCTGAATCTGCTGAAATGAAGACCTGGCTCAAGTAAACCTCATAGGGTAACCTATCCATTTTGTGGAGTTTTATCTTGAATGTTTTGTTGACCCAGTTGTTTTGCTCTTTTTATCACTTGTCTGTCTAGCTGATCATTGTATGTTATTTAATGTAAGATAGATTCTGTTAAGACATGAACTTTATTTAAAGATACAACCTGTTTTTCCTCTGTCTTCACTAATGGTGAATCAATTGAAGAAAGGTGTGTGAAGCAATTGTTTTACATATCTGATTTTACAAGTAGAAGCTGTAATGATTTTGGGTGTAACAAAGGGAAGGTTGACATAGTTTTTAAATTCTATACATAGATTATGGCCACATCAGGTACCTTTGCAGGTTATCAGAGAGGCTTGGAGTTGGATACACTTTTAAGATGGCTAACATACCTCTTTACTCCAAACTTGCCCTCCTTCTAGATGTTGTATCCTAAGTTAGCATTTAGGGGCACTGCCAATTTTTTTTTCTTGAGGTGATTTGACTTTATAATCATGTTATTTAGTTCTTGTAATCTCATTAATTGCCTATTAACCCCACCTTTCAAATGAAGAAAACATGTAAATTTTCAGCATTTATTTGAATTTGCAAGGTATTTAACAACATGCTATGTTGATAGCAGTTACTATCATCATTCTAGTATTGGAGATACAGCTTTTTAAGTGAAATACGATAATCCCTGTACTTTAAAGTTTAAATTCAAATGTGGGGAAAGGAAAATGCCAAAAACTAAAGACAAACTCACAGCTGATGATGTGTTTAGAAGAGTTGGGGAGAAGGACTACTAACTTGGGTCTTTGGACCTCCTTTAAGGAGGCAACATTTAAGCTAAAAAACACCACAGTAGATGGGAGACCTGACCATGTAAGAGGTCCTTGCCTTCCAAAAGCCAATTTAGAGAAATCAGCAACAGATCGCAATACACTGTGTCAAGAACTCAAGTTTTGTACATAGTCTTTATTAAAATTTACTTGAGCTGATTCTAAGATTATTAATGTATTTAATATTACAACTTATTAAATGTTATTTTACATTTGACCATTGAATTTTGGTGTGAACAAGAATATATATCCTGAAACTCCCCCCCTCCCCACTTTTCTGTTTCTAGTGTATATTTTCTTGGAATTTAAAATCAAAGATTTAAAAGAGGACTTGGTAGTTGGTTTTCTTCTGGATGTATAGAAATTAAAATCAGCTGCTTAATCCTCCCCACGCCCCAACCATTGGCATTTAGGGAACTTGTTCCTTTTTTTAAACTTTTTTTAAAAATTAAGGCAACATTGGTTTACAATTAGATGTAAAGGATCACACCCTTCAGGTGTGTGTTAACCACACCACGTCCAATACTATGACACAATACTATGACACTCAACAGTCCTCCACCTTGGTCCAACAGACATTGTTTTTGACCCACCAATTTAATCTTATTTATCCTACTTAGTACTTCCAATTTTAGTACATATTTTTGTTGGACAGATTACTTGAAATGATTCGCAGATATTTGTTTGTTTTCCACTTAAGCGGCCTATAAATTCCTTGTGTATAGCTGTTCCCTAATCTTGTAGTTTCTGCTTCCTTAGTGTTTTTTTCACTATCATTTGCACATAATTGATCACTGAATGTTATGCAGAGTTAGCTTTTCACTGTTGATAAGTACACACTCTTTTGCACAAAATTTGCTTGCGGTGGTTAGTTTAGCAAGCATATTGAATTCCAGTAGATACTTGTTTAATTTACTTGGCTATTTAAGACACCAAGCTTGTTAGAGTTTCTGCTATGATTGTTAACTTTTAAAAAAGTGAGTTTGAGATGAAACAACTTATGAAAGGAAGTGACAGAGAGCACATTTTTGAGAACATTACAAATACTAACTGCAGATATGTTATGATATGCCAAAATGATAGTATGTTTACCTCTGAAGTTTTTTGATAGGATGACAACATAATTTCAGGTAGTTAAATGTAAAAGTAAAGATGTTTTCAGTTATGCCATTGCCTGCCACATTTGGCATAAAGCATAATTCCAGTTCCTTAAATTTTTTAAAGATTTATTATTTATTTGCATACAAGATCTGGGGTGTGCCAGAGATGCAGGAAAGTGAGAGGATTAACCAGAAACAGAATGGGGAGCAGAGTAGGCAGAACTAACTACTGAGATACACTGCTGAGGGGAACAGTGGGCAAGACAGGAGAGGTCTCCTGCTTCATGTTGGTGGAACTCTGTTCTGCACTGGCTTCTGATAGCTTCATAGTGCTGAGATGTAACCCCTTGTGCCTCCGGAGGCCCTAAAACTTTATTCTTAAATTAGTTCCCTGAAATCATTAGTGTCTTTATTAAGTTTATTGCAGTGTTTAATTTAATGCATTATAAACAATGGATATTTAATTTACCATAAATCATTTGTATTTTTTATCTTTGCTAGGAATTTAAATTCTCAGAATATTCTCTCCAGAAGAATTTTACATTATTTCGAAGATTCTCAACATTGACTGCTTGATCCTACATAAAATTTAAGGTAAATTTTTCTAGTTTCCAGTTTTGGCATATATTAGATAAAATGAGACTACTGAACTCTTGTTTCAGACTGTGATAAAAATAATGTGGTCTGAAGCTCTTATTTTACTCCCCTTCCTTTTTGGTGACTTAATGAGGTAAGCCAGCTTTTTAATGTTGCTTTGTAGGAAAAAGATTTCCTCTTCTGCTTCTAGGTGTGTGTCTGCTTCTACTTCTATAAACACATCTACTTAAAGATTCACAACACACAAGGTATTTGGAAGTAGAACAAACAAGGCCTACTTAATTTAACTAATTTTCCTTCATGCATACCAGAGGAATTCTGTAACTTCTCTCCTTTAAGTTAGTGTTAATCCAATGGAAAGGAAATGTTTATTATATGCTAAACATTGTACATTTGGTACAATGTTTAGTCATCACTAAACTATAGCAGCAATTTCTTGGTTTCTCAGAATTAAGAATGAGAGAAGTCAAAGGTGATATTTATAGAAAACAGCTGTTTTATTTTGAAGTAATTAAACCTGGAAATGGTCATTTATGTTTTTTGATGAAATATGCAGGCATTGTCTCTTCTGTGACTCAACTCATCCTACTACTTTCAGCTACTGTTTCATAATATGGAGCAAAATATAAGTATATAAAATACGCGTCTTACAAAAATGATTGGTTATAGGAGAATAGTTTTTAATATATAAGAGTTGGAGGTGATTGCAGTTTTAGTGAGTTGATTTTTATGGAAATAGTTTGAGGAAATTTGGAAGTAGTTACAGTAAAAATAAACTTGGTAGGCATATGTTTAATTTTGTAAAGAATAGGATTCATAAATAATCCTACAATAATTAGTCCCCTTGATGTCTAATTATTGCAGTCGATACTAAGTAGTGTAATATAGAAAGGTTAGGATTTTGATGCATTTTTATTATTAGTTCCAGTGTGTCTCTCTTGCTGCAGCCTCTCCAGTTTCTCTTTCATCTTTTTCATTTTACCAGAAGCTACATAATAAACTAGGCATAAGTCCATTGATGCATATGTTGTATGACTCTTAGACCACAGCCCAATAACTCCAAAGTGTTCACAGATTTAGTAATGTTTTTTTCTACTAAGAGAATTTTCAATACTATTTCAGACAGTATTTTATAGCTGAAATAGTTAATTTAGTTCTATTTCCAGACCATACCAGACTTAGAACAATCTGGTAGATTTTTTTTTTTTAAGTATTTGTTTTAGGTTCTCTTATCTGAGTTAACTCTTGATGATCTTTATTTTATCCACAGGAAAGGTAGACAATTTGTTGGGCAGGGAATAATAATTAACTTGATTGCTGCAATCTGATTTCTCTTTCTGCATTGTGCAGCAGCTACCTTTTTTAGAGTGAGAAATACAGTTGGGGTAGTCCATAGTATCCTCTTGTATTTTCAGTTTATACTATCTGTCATAGAGGTGCAAACAGTATTAGGTATATCATCTTCTAAACTCTGACTTGAATGGTGATGAGTAGTATCCTTTTAACTTAGATTTAAAATTCGTGTTTGGAAATAATAATGTAAAGCTCCACTTGTGATTTTTTTTTAACCTTTGCTCTCTTATTTGATCAGGAGAAAGAAATGGGTCGCTCCAATTCTAGATCTCATTCTTCAAGGTCAAAGTCTAGATCACAGTCTAGTTCTCGATCAAGATCAAGATCCCATTCTAGAAAGAAGAGATACAGGTGAACAGTGTTTTTAATTCTTTTAGTAATGATAATTAATATATGTGGAGTGCTTACTGTGTACATTGTTAATAAACCACTGAAATATTCTATTAAAATATCTTGTAATATGGAGGCTTGTGAAAAACGAACCTTATGAAATGTTACCCTCATTAGGGTTGGAAAAAATGAGAATTGTCCAAGATGCAACCTAGTAAGTGGCAGACCTGATATTTGAAGCTAGATAATCTCATTACAGATCCTAAATTTTACAAAACCGAATTTTTGTCATACTTACGCATGATGTGAAACAATAAATTGGATAACAAAAAGAATTACTTGGCATTGATACTATATAGTATCTTTTCTCATGCTCCTAAGGCTTCAATAAATTCATAATTTTGGGTGTCTTTCTTGAAACAGTGCATGCTTAGTGTAATAATAGTAAGCACAGGTTGAAAGGACCAGGACCATAATCTTATTAAGAATTAGTACTAGCTTATGATTTTTCTTGGCCTCTCTATTGTAATGTTAAGCTAGTATTTCACTGATAAAAATCTGCTTTTACGCCATGCTTTCATGCTGTCACTCTATATGGATAAGCTGTAACTTGTTAGTATGTTCTGTTGAATGCGCTTATTTTTTTCCCCCTATTTTCTGTGCTTTCATTCTTAAGGTCTGTGATTCTTTGAACATAACACCTTAGAAGTGAGGCTTGAATAAAAAATCTTAAACTTCTAGTGTATATATTTAACTTTGACAGTTTATTTGCATGTTGTACTTAACTGACACTTAGAACAGTAGAGGGAATAATTTTTTTTTCCTTCATTGATATTTATTTTATTTTTAGTTCTAGGTCTCGTTCCAGGACGTATTCAAGATCTCGTAGTAGAGATCGTATTTATTCTAGAGATTATCGCCGAGATTACAGAAATAATAGAGGAATGAGACGACCATATGGGTATAGAGGAAGGGGTAGAGGATATTATCAAGGAGGAGGAGGTAGATATCATCGAGGTGGCTACAGACCTGTCTGGAATAGAAGACACTCTAGGAGCCCTAGACGAGGCCGATCACGTTCCAGGAGTCCAAAAAGAAGATCTGTTTCTTCTCAAAGATCCCGAAGCAGATCTCGACGATCATATAGATCCTCCAGGTCTCCAAGATCATCCTCTTCTCGTTCTTCATCCCCATATAGCAAATCTCCTGTCTCTAAAAGACGAGGGTCTCAGGAAAAGCAAACCAAAAAGGCTGAAGGGGAGCCCCAAGAAGAGAGTCCTTTGAAAAGTAAATCACAGGAGGAACCGAAAGATACCTTTGAACATGACCCATCTGAATCTATTGATGAATTTAATAAGTCATCAGCTACTTCTGGTGATATCTGGCCTGGCCTTTCAGCTTATGATAATAGTCCCAGATCACCCCATAGTCCTTCACCGATTGCTACTCCACCTAGTCAGAGTTCATCTTGTTCTGATGCTCCCATGCTCAGTACAGTACACTCTGCAAAAAACACCCCTTCTCAGCATTCACATTCCATTCAACATAGTCCTGAAAGATCTGGGTCAGGTTCTGTTGGAAATGGATCTAGTCGATACAGTCCTTCTCAGAATAGTCCAATTCATCACATCCCTTCACGAAGAAGCCCTGCAAAGACAATCACACCGCAGAATGCTGCAAGAGATGAAGCTAGGGGACGTTCCTCATTTTATCCAGATGGGGGAGATCAGGAAACTGCAAAGACAGGAAAATTCTTAAAAAGGTAAGAACCAAAGAATTTGGATCATATTTAAACTTTTTTTTTTGAGTTCCATCTAATTTATACATTTTACAGTTGCATCACAATAGGGCCTTAATGATTTTTATGGTAATCCCAAATTGTTTATACTCATGTTTGGTTAACTTTGGAAGTTGTAAGAGAAAGTAATTTACATTTCTTCTAACTTAATCTCTTGTCAGTCCAGAGTTAAGACTGTAAATGAGGAGAAATTGAGTAACATAAAGCATAACTAGTGGTAAAACATGTTGTAAAAACAATAGATTCTCTTTAGAGATTTATGTATTAAAGCACTGAATTCTTATTTGTTGTTTTCACCATTATGATTTGCGTAAACAGTGCAGTTATATGTTCTTACTTGTATTATACACAGTTCAGCCATCAGTTTTAATAAGGCTGCCTGACTGGAAAAAATGTTCTCTCTTACGACTAATGACACTTTTTAACAGATACTTTAATTCTAATTTTAAGTGTTGCCCAGAGGTGCTAGAAATTAATGAAAATTGGTTGGTAATGTAGTGTGGTAGATTTACAAATGAAGGATAATGCAAGCATGATATTTATGGTACAACTTAGAATTGTTTTTTCTTACCGAACTGACAAGAATTTCTATTTAGTAATACCCTAATAATTTTGTAGAACAAAATTTAGGAATTTTTTTGGTTTTGGAGTATTAAATATCTGATGTAATCAGTTTCATTGAACTCTTATTTCTATCAGTTGATCAATAAGTGTAAGCCTAAAAATTTGAGTGTAAGTAAATTCTCATAAACAAACACATTGTTGGTGGTTCTTAGGCTCAAAAACTTAAACAGTGCTGTGTATTTAAATTCTTTGGAAGTTGGGATTTGTTAATGTGAACTTAGACTCACTAAATATAAGAGTTTGAAATGGTTTTACTTTTAAATTTAGGAAGTATGATATGTAAATTTATATATAAATTCAGTGAGTAAATGCTGTGTGTATGCTTTTCATGCTTCCTAAAAGTGGACTCCAAAAAAGCATTTTTTAGTAGGGTCTTTCTTTAACTGGTCCTTTGGTATTGGGCAACACATTTAAGTATGCAAGTGATTCACAGTGAATGCAAGCCAGTTACCTACCATCCTCTTCTTTGCTTATTCACAGGTTCACAGATGAAGAGTCTAGAGTATTCCTGCTTGATAGGGGTAATACCAGGGATAAAGAGGCTCCAAAGGAGAAAGGATCAGAGAAAGGGAGGGCAGAGGGAGAATGGGAAGATCAGGAAGTTCTAGATTATTTCAGTGATAAAGAATCTGGAAAACAAAAGTTTAATGATTCAGAAGGGGATGACACAGAGGAGACAGAGGATTATAGACAATTCAGGAAATCAGTTCTTGCAGATCAGGGTAAAAATTTTGCTACCACATCTCATCGGAATACTGAGGAGGAAGGACCCAAGTACAAGTCCAAAGTTTCACTGAAAGGCAATAGAGAAAGTGATGGATTTAGAGAAGAAAAAAATTATAAGCTTAAAGAGACTGGATATGTAGTGGAAAGGCCTAGCACTACAAAAGATAAGCACAAGGAAGACGACAAAAATTCTGAGAGAATAACAGTAAAGAAAGAAACTCAGTCACCTGAGCAGGTAAAGTCTGAAAAGCTCAAAGACCTCTTTGATTACAGTCCCCCTCTACACAAGAATCTGGATGCACGAGAAAAGTCTACCTTCAGAGAGGAGAGCCCACTTAGGATCAAAATGATAGCCAGTGATTCTCATCGTCCTGAAGTCAAACTCAAAATGGCACCTGTTCCTCTTGATGATTCTAACAGGTAATTCCAGTTAAAGCTTAGTACGTACATAATCTGTGGGTGGTTAATAATTAGCAGTTGTGTATTTTTTTTAATATACTTACCATTTTCATATTCAAACCAATTGGTATATTTTGTTTGTGTGTGTGTTATCGATATGCTCCAGACCTGCTTCCTTGACTAAAGACAGGCTACTTGCTAGTACACTTGTCCATTCTGTCAAGAAGGAGCAAGAATTCCGATCCATCTTTGACCACATTAAGTTGCCACAGGCCAGCAAAAGCACTTCAGAATCATTTATTCAACACATTGTATCCTTGGTTCATCATGTTAAAGGTATGTTTAGTATTACGAATTTTCTCTGGCAAATAAAAAAAAAATGGTTATGTTTAAAATTTTATGTCCCTTAGGGTTACAAGTATACAGAGAGACCATTAAGATTTGAAAAATGCAGCAGTGTGTACTAAGCTTTTTTGAGACCCACTACAGAGTTACTTAAAAAAAGCAATGGAAATGCTAAATAGAGCAAATCCATCTAAAAAATTATATTGATATATGGCATGATGTAGATTTAATGATGAAATAGGCTTTTGTGTATTATGTTTGAAGGGCAGATATTTTTGGTGCATGCATATAACTTGTGAAACTCTTGGTGTAGCTTTGTACACAGTGAGGCAGTTTTATTACTAGATGTTATTCATTAACAATTCCCTTTCACCTTTTAAAGAAACTTGAAATGAATGGGGAAACTATTTTCTGTCTTGTATTTGTTTGAATACTTAGCTTTTTCATCGATAAGTAAACCAAAAACACTTAGGATTATTCAAAGGGGGAAAAAGTAAGACATTTGGAAGTAGATAAGTAATGATTACATGAAAAGTGACTATATAGGATAATGATATTTCCTTAGGTCCTATAATTTTTAAGGGTGCTCATTTCAGCTCAATCAGTGGTTTTCTGTTTTCACTACTATATATTTTAGCTTCGAAGTAATTAATTTTCTAAGGTTTTAGAGTATGACTTTTTTGAGCAACTTAAGTTTGATTTTTATGTTTTAAAGGCACCTTATTGTGAAATAAGTTCTTACCCAGGAATCGCCCTGGCTTCTGGTAGTAAGCCATGTTAGAAAAGTTTGTCATTTGACACAAGAACAGTTCATTATAGCTGAAAGTTGGTCATTGGCAGTTCTTTATGCACTTAATATTTCAAAATCAGTGAATAGTTAATGTTTTCTTTTTGACTGTAATTAAACATGCTAACAAGTTTTGTTATTTGACTATAAGTAAAAGTTTGTGAACCAATTTATGACCATATTGCTGTGGTACATAAAAAAAAAGCATTAACATTTTTTCTTTTTCCCAACTTTTTTGACCTATCTCCACATTTTACAGTTTGTTGCTGAATTTTGAGATCGTTTTGATAAATTTTTCCTTTTTCCTTTTTTTTTTTAAATCTGTAGTTACGTTTCATTATTGGTATTGTGCAACCGACCTGAACAGCTCTTAGTTAATATAGAGCTGAAAATGCCCAGTGATGTTTTCTTTTTCATTGTAACTAGGTCCTGGAATATGTTTTGAAATGGCAAAATCCATGTTTCAAAGTAAAATAGCTGTTGAAAGATACAGGCAAAGTTGAATCTTCTGTCTTCCTGGCAAAAATGGCATAAAAACTGAGTTGCTAGCTCAAATTCCTGGGTTTCATGGAATTATGATTGAGGCACTACCCTTGTAGTGGCCGTTTCAAGTTTTAATGATTGGTTATGAGACATATGCTGGATATTGGGCGGTAAGTTGATACAGATGTATGTTGACCTGTTAAGCGGATACCTTACTTCGTAATGTTAACATTTCATGACTTTATACGTCTTTCTATTTTACATTTGCAAAATACTTGAACTGGTTTAAAAACGGATTGGTATTGGTACTACTACTATTGTTAAAAGAAATACAAGACAATATCAAATGTACTGTCAGGTTTGCCAAGATGCCAGATTTTTGGAGTAGTCAGTAAATGCTAATTTTCCACTTGAATGGCAGTATTCATTTTTTCTTAAATCTACTTTTTGTATGTGAATATTAGTTCTTGATCAAATAATTTTATTAGTTTATTAAAGTTATCTGTGCACTTCAGTATTTTTTTGTTTTCTACAAGTGATTACTTGAGTAACTTCATTGGTTTATCTGGGTAGAAGGAAATTCACATTTTTTTGTTCTGTTCAAGGAGGTATAGTGCATCATTGAAACGGATGGAGACTCAATTGACTTGTTTATTATTTTAGATAATATGTAGTATTGATAATGACTTGAGGACATTTGCATAATCTGTTGAGGTATATGAGAAGTTAAAAGGGACAGGGTAGGAGCTCTTTGTAACAACACTTGATTCTTTTCTGCTAGGTTTTTTTTTTTTTTTAAATTTCCTTTTCACCTACTACATGCCCTTCTGTCACAAATGAAAATCTCTCTTCAAGTAAATATAACTAATTAGGCAGTATTTCTCATAAATCAACAGAGCAATACTTCAAATCAGCTCCAATGACCCTAAACGAGAGGTTCACTTCATATCAAAAAGCCACCGAAGAACATAGTACCCGGCAAAAGAGCCCTGAGATTCACAGGTATGTCTGCTGTTGAGTGGGCATATAGAAACGTTTGATAGGAAGACACTTTAAATTACATTATATTAGAACTAAGCTGTCATGACACAAATGAACTTTGGTTTTATTCCTAATTTAAACCTTGAATTAAACATTTCCAGTCTTAAAACATTTGCAGTTTATTAAGTTTTCAGTTTATTTGGTTTAAACTAGTTGTAACTTGATACCTCCACTGTAGGGTAGAATAGTTAAATCACACTTGTTTTTGGGAGAGGTTTGGATGCCTAGAATAACCTTTGCATTTAGTTTTTTCCATTAACTTGGTAAAATGAAAATGTTGGAGAGGTGGAATTTAGTGAAGAGTGTGCACATCAGAGTCAGACAGTTATGGTAAAAATCCTGGCTCTGTTAGTGAATTGTATTGTGAAGCTGCATATTTAATTGTCAAACACTTTTTTCCATCTACAAAAAGTGGGTAATGTCTTTTTTGCAGTATGGTAAGTGACAGTAGTATTGGTTATAAGGTATCTTAACTCAGTGCTTAATACATAGTAGATAGGTTTTTGTGATAAATGCTGAAGAAATACTGGGAAATTGTAAATGACAAAAGTTTCAAAACACCAGAAAAAGCTAAAACTAAAGACTGATAGCATATGTACAGGTCTTGTAGCTACTTAGGAACATGTAAGTTGATTTCTATTTGTATATTTATTGAGGTTATCGATGTACTGACATTATTTGATGATTGACTTAGCGTTAAATCATCGTATAATTACAGTAGCGTTAAAACATTTTTTCTCCTTTTTTGATAAGTTAAGTCGAACTTTTAAAAGATTAGGTTTGCATTTATTTATAAAAATAATCTTGTGCAGGCATTTTAATTTAGTGGGCAGAATTTTTTTATTTCTTAGTTTTCTATTGGGACTTAGTATAACAACTTTAATTTGGAAAGTTTTTTGGGTGATTGGGAAAAGTAGAGCTGTCTAGTATTTCTGTTACAGAAATTTACAATACTGAGATTTTTTTGTAACTTTAAAGTTAATGTTACTACAAATAGACTTTATTTTACATTAAGGAGAATTGACATCTCTCCAAGTGCCCTGAGGAAGCATACCCGCTTAGCAGGGGAAGAGAGAGTTTTTAAAGAAGATAATCAAAAGGTATGTTTTAAATCGACATTAACCCCCACCCCCATGTTCAGCTTAGTTAATTATACTGTACTAAATATAGTTTGGGCAAAATGTTTACAGATAATTTGCCATTTTTTAAACCTAAAAATATTATGGTATTGTACCTATTTCTTAGAGAAAATTTGGCTGATACTACTATGATCTGGGTTAAACTAGCAGTAATTTTAAAAGATAATGAAAGGAAGAAATTAGTTCTAAGGAAAAGGTACAGAATGGGTAGACAAAAGAAAATTACAAAAGTTAAAGATAATCAAAGTATTTAGGGTTTTAGTCAAATTTGAGGTTAAATGATTGAGCCAGAATAAATATTCCATCACTTATGTGTGCTTAAATTAATATCTCTAGGTTCTTCACCGAACAAAAAGTAATTTCTATGCTACTGGGTATTTTGGATCTGAACTAAGAAATAAACGTTTTAAGAACTGTTTTACAAATGAACTTTTGCAACAAAACTGTGTCACTAACAATATCTGTATATTGGGGGAGGAAAGCTTTTAAACTTAGGGAGCCTGTGAGTGACTAGTGGAATGGGGTTGGGGTTTTTAGAATGGAATTCAGTTGTTAAAGAGATTTCTCATAAACTGGTAATTCGAAGTAGACGTTTTCTGAGAGGTCTAGTTTATGATAGGCCTTTAGCAGTCTAGTAGAACTGTGGGTAAAGGTGGAATGGGGCACTGTTGTAATGAAAAGGTTAGGGGACTTGGAAGTACTGCTTGGCTCCAGTTCTGGCCATCACAAGTATATTCGTGATAGTTGGAAAATATTTAACTTTTGGATGTCAGTTTTCTAATTAGGAAAAAGCAAGTATATGTGTCTAGCAGTTTTATTTAATAATTGCACTATTATGAAAATAATAGGTATTTTCATTGTAGCATGTACATTTTTAGTAATAGGGCATGCTAACACATTAGGGTATTTAACTAAGAAACAAAGTGGCTTCTTTGGAGCATATCTTAGAAAAACAAGTTGTACTAACTTTCGCTTTTACTTTTCAATACCTTGGATTCAGCATTGATTGATTTTGTTTGCCAACAGTATAGTTTATCCTTGTGCTCTGATGGAGTATCTTGCTTTTCTCCCTATTATTCAGACCAGATTGTGATTTGTAGGAGAAAATAGTGATTACTGATTGATGGTTAAGAGGATATGACATTGTTTTTTATTCTTCATCTTCTGATCTAAATGTATTAATGTGTAATGTATAGGTAGTTCAGTTTAAAAACTACTTTCACTTACATTATTTTGTTACTTGTGGGCTGCTAATATCAGGTGAATAGGAAGGTTTTTGCTCTTGACTAGGTGTTTTTTTTTTTTTTTCTTTGTTACCCTGGGGACAAATAGGTGAGTAGTGATCATTTGGAGATAAACTTTATGCTTTCATTTTTATGAATGCTTATTAAATATTATAGCTGCTAGAAATCCCAGAGTAAGTACTTATTGTTGAAATACTAGCAAGGATGTCCACATTGCTTAGCATCTTACTGATGTATCATTTTTCTTCATTCCTAGATGCCTCTTTCCATCTTCCTAAATTATATAGTATTTGAAAAAGCAATGGAACAAGAAGGAGGTGAATTGTGACCCAGTTAAACTATTGTCCGTTGCAATACCTGAATTGAGAAGGGGCAGTATATGGCCCAAGATACTGAGTACAGGATTGGGAATAATATCTTTCTGGCTTTGTTTGTACCCTTGTTCAATCTCAGTTGATGTCATTAATCATACTCCTCTTGCATGTTATAGAAATTACAGAATTACTTTTGAATTTTTTTTTTATTTTGGGTTGGTCAACTTGTTTGGGAAGAACTTAATAATAATGAGGCTTCTGTAATGAAATAACTTCAGGATCCCTTTATGTAGGTGTAAGGCAAAACTATAGATTATATATAACCTTTGTCATTGTTGAACTGTTAAAAGAAATGCCATTTTCAAGGATGAGGGATGATAATTGAGTGTGTGCTGAATGGAAAAATATTTTACTGTACAAAAGTTTTTATGGTTGCTTTGAACAGAAAGCTTTAGTTAGCTTTTAAACAACTTCCTTAGTCCTACTGCACTTGTGTATACAAATGTTTAGTTAAAACTGTCACCTACTTTTTCTAACGAAGACTACGGAAGGTGTATGTAAATATCTGATACTAAAACGTCAGTTTAGAAACTGGCATAAAATTTGGATAAAAACGTATATATGGTTACCTATATTCCCTGAAGTTTGTGTTTTACATTGTCTTTTTATAGGGAGATAAAAAATTAAGGTGTGATTCTGCTGATCTTCGGCATGACATTGATCGTCGGAGAAAAGAAAGAAGTAAAGAACGTGGGGATTCCAAGGGCTCCAGGGAATCCAGTGGATCAAGAAAGCAGGAAAAACCTCCAAAAGATTACAAGGAATACAAATCTTACAAAGATGACAGGTAATTGTTTAAAACTGTCCGAGTTAGGTTTTAGCTTCTAATTAGCCTTTAATAATTGTCAGCTTAATTGCTTTCAATTTTGATTGTGTAATCGAATGTTTAAATTTAAACAATTAAAATTATTTGTTTTACAGCAAAAATGTATTTGTCTTTTACACGGCTTATGGTGGATGAGGACAAAAACTTTGGAATAGCAAGCTAACACTGAAAAAAAAAATGACAAATTAATGTGTCCTATTATCCAGGCTACATCAGGAGGTTGGACTTCAATGCAGTGCATTTCTAGAAACAGTTTGTGTAAGAACTTTGGTTCGTTATGCTTGATTCCGCACTTTTTCAACTCATAACACCCAGAGTACAAAAATTTTAAACTGATATCTAGTGGTTTAACATGGGAGAAATGGGGGGGAGGAAGGATTAGTTTTTTTGAAATAGCAATATATAGTCTTTCAAAGTAATATTTCCATGGATACTGTTAGCAGTGGTAAGAGTATTGCAGGTATGACCTTTTCGGGTATTGCATTTTAGAACCATAAAAGTGATCATCATAGAGTCATATAAATAATAGAAATATTAAGTATCGTAGATAATCGTTTTTTCTTGCTATTCATTAGGTAAATGGTGAATTTTACTTGTGTTTTTTAATTTATGATTGGTATTTGTAATGTCATGCTTTTTATTTCTATAACTGTGTTATATGGCCCACACCATACCAACTGTTCTCACCCAGGGTGTACAAACTGCAGTCATTTTGAAACTTGACCTTAAAAAGTCTTGCTTGTTTTCCTACTCTTCCCTTTCTTTTCTTTTAAAAAAATAAAGTTAAAGATACTGAAGAACTGAACTTTATTCTTGAAGTTTCCAGACTGCTAGCTTTTAACTGGCAGGTCATAGCATGTTTTTCAGTAGTGATGTAAATAAGTACTGAAAGAGAATGGAAACAAATTGTGTCAAAGTTTAACAAACACCTAGTCATTCTAGTTACATAATGTTAATAGGGGATAGTTTTTTTTTTTTTAAACGTGAAAAATATCCCTCTTACTATAAGATTCAACAGGGCCATTATCTTTAAAAATTGCACATTTTTTTGTTTTATTTATTTTGCAGTAAGCATAAAAGTAGAGAGCAAGATCATTCTCGATCTTCATCATCTTCAGCATCACCTTCTTCTCCCAGTTCTCGTGAAGAAAAGGAGAGTAAGAAAGAACGAGAAGAAGAATTTAAAACTCACCATGAGCTGAAAGAATACTCAGGCTTTGCAGGAGTTAGCCGACCACGAGGAACCTTTGTAAGTAATAAAATTACCTTTCATGATTTTATAGGACTTAAAGAATATGTATAAAGAAGTAAAATAAATTATTTAGACAGTCATTCCTACACTGAGTATTAGTCTTAAAAATGACAAGTTTTGTGAAGTATCATTTATGTTAGGAAATAACATTTGGGGGAATTAGAAGGGACTGAAGCTGGTACACAGATTAACAGGTAAATGTTTTTGCTCAATTCAAAAAAAAATGCTTTTTTGATATCTAGCAGTATCTGCATAAACTAGGGACTTCACTATTTTTGCATATATTTCAAGTCATTGTTTTTCATGTGTTCCAGTCTTAGAAATAATGACTTATTCTGTTAGCATATGCTTACTCGCATGTATTTTATAAAATCCAATTATTAATTTAAGGGCCTCATAGTGCAGCATTTCCATGATACTAATTTCTGTGTATTCAAATTTTTCCTTGAACATCCTGTTAGTAGGGTCATTTATTCATTTGGGAAGGAAAAGAGCTTTGCTAATGTGATAGTAAGTGTAGTTGAACACTTGGGACTCCTATGATAATTCTCTTTGGGGTTAGTAAAGGAAAAGAATTAGCTTTTGATTATTTTAAAATATTATTTGGGTCATGAAAGTGAAGTGCTCTAACATTTAGGTTGATTGTGCATTTCTTCTCACCTACTCAGCTTTTAGTAGGCAGAATTTTTTTTTTGCCTGTGATCTAAAATGGCCTTTTCAGCCTCCAGTTGAGATTTAGGAACGAAGTTAGGGGATACGTTCTTGTTACTGCAGTAAAATTAGAATTTGCATGTAACTAAATACTTTTTGATTGCATTACTAAACAGTTTTGTTAATGTTAATCAGTTTCGAATTAGAGGCAGAGGAAGAGCCAGAGGAGTTTTTGCTGGGACAAATACTGGTCCAAACAACTCAAATACTACTTTTCAAAAGAGACCGAAGGAAGAGGAATGGGATCCAGAATATACCCCAAAGAGCAAGAAGTACTTCTTGGTGGGTGTTAGAAATCTGTGTTTATTTGGTTTGCATTAATTTTCAAAGCATACTGGGGTGAATAAATTTTGAGTACAGTTATCTACTACTATGAGAATATTTCACCACAATGCCTGAAACCTTTTAAAAAATACATTACCCAGATGGTTTGAAGTTTTGAAAATGTGGGCCCCTTCAGTCTCTCTTTGTACTTTTCTTGATATACCTTATAGGCTGATCAGGATAACTTAAAAATATACCTGATTTGATAGCCACATACAAAGAAGAACATTATTACATGTTTTATATCTGTCTATAAGACTATAAATGAACAGTTGTAGAATCTTTTCAAACATTAAACTGTTTGTCTAAATAAAAGCCAAGGTAAAGAATTCTTTAATAGTACATGTAACTAAGAGTCTAAGGGCACTGTTAAATGTTCTTTGAAATAAAAGGAAGATGAAAAATTACATTATGGAAAGGTTGCTAGGTACATAAGTTGACACTTTCTTGTGATGGTTTTCCTCTGAAGTAGTTTTCTAAGGGATGAAGAATCTCTGAATAATGATGGAAATTGTCTACACTTTGGTGGGGGTGGGAGAAGGATCTATCCTGTTTTTTATATACATGAACTTTATATTAGACTGTTACAAGAATACTAATTTTTGTCATAGTTTCTTAGGGAAGTCATGTTTCAGGAAAGACTAGTTTTGTTGAAGCAAGAAGGAAAATTTCATTTGCCTTTCATTTCACTTTTTATGAATACATTTGAATAAATAGTGTCCATAACATCTCTTTTAGGTGTTGTGAAGTATATCTATATTTTGTTAGGCAAATGGATTATAGTTGTTCAAAAATTAATCTCCATTTGTCATTTTTATGGGTACTTAATAAGAGTAGTATTGAGAAATAACCTAAAATGGTGTATTGCAAGGAGAGCATGATTAGGAGAACTATTGAAAAATGTGACTTAAATCTTAAGCTTAAAAGATGAGTAGTAAGTAGGTGTAATGCAGGTAGCAGATGTAGAATACCTGGCGGAGAAAAAGCGTTAGTACTAAGGGTTAGATGGCTAAGTTTGGAAAATTAACAAAAAGCAGGGGCCAAGTTAGAGAAGGTTGAAATTCTTTAATATATTTGGAAAAATAAAGAGTTAAGTAAAATGCTTATGAGAACAAATACACCTGAGATCATGAATGGCTGAGCTAAGGCACTAGATTTGAGAAAAGTTATTCATGTTTATAAGGCTTTATTCAAGCACATACCAGTTGGATGTTGTAGTGAGAAGGAATTTAAGATAGGGAATAATGAGGAAAGAAGCCCATTTTAGGAGGAGCTTAAGATGTTTTTGAAATCTTTGGGAGGAATCAAAAGGAGATGTTCCAAAGATACTTACTAAAGGAGATCTAGAGAGAAATAGAAAAAAATCCAGGAGCCATCACAGAAGTATGGGAAAAATTACTTCGTGGGAAGAGAAGTGATTACAAGGTCAACTAATCAAATGTGCAGTGAGGAGTGAGTGATAATGAAAATGTAAGACCAAATGTGAGAAATATCAAAATACGAAGCGGGAAATGAAAGTGAGCAAATAAGTAAATAGTGATTTTTAAAACATCTGATGTATGTCTAATTGAGGACACTTTTTTTTATAACTATGGTGGCCTTTCAGAATCTAGTCTGTTTTTAACCTTAAATTGGGACATAATTATTTCAAACTGACCTATAATTGCAGAGTAGTTTGACTAGTGAAGTATGTTATTTTAAGAAGGTTGCCACTTACAAGCAATAACATTTTGTGGGTTGTGATTTGGGGCTCTATTTTTAAAATTTTCATTTTATAGAACATGCATTTATATATGCGTCATAGATGGATTCAGAAGTAATCTTTTTGAGATTGATTTATTTATGCACACAGAACTGGGGAACAGGGCAGAGGGGCGGGGTGGTGAGATTTACCAGAGACAAGAGTAGGGAGCAGAAAAGGCAAATGGAATGAAACACTGCTGGGGGAGCAGTGGGCGGTTCTGGAGAGGTCTGCCATGCCATGTGGGTCACCTCTCTAGTGCTGAAGTTGCTGCTGATGGCTTCACAGTGCTGTGCTTTAACCCATTGCCTCCCCAGGCAGGTCCTCTAGAAGTAAAATAAACACCATATGTTTTTTCTTACCAATCAACTCCCAAAATTTGTGTTTTGGTTCTTAATGAGCCATGGAAATGACTGTTTTTATTTTTACTTGGATATTTGAACTTAACAGATTTGCATTTTCTGTAAAAACTAATTGAGCTGGTATTGTTCATAGAAATAGAAACAAAAATATTCATATGAAATGAGATTAAATATCTACAACATCCTAAATCCTTTTAGTATAACCAAGCCACATGGAAATTTTGCCCATATTAGTAAAACAATAATAGTTAACACTTAGTAAACATATGCTAGGCCAGCATCCTAAGTGTTTTACATCTGCCAGCTTATATTTATGAAATAACTTTTTGAAATGGGGCCATTCTACTTTTTTTTTAAAGATTTATTTATTCATACAGAACTGGGGTACAGGCCAGAGGTGCGGGGGCGCTGAGAGGATTCAGCAGAGACAGAGTGGGTAGCAGAATAGGCAGATTGAGGAAGTACACTGCTAAGGGGGGAAGCATTAGGTGTGTCAGGAGAGGTTTTCCTCACCCTGTGGGCCACCTCTGGGGTGGGCGGGTATTAAGTTCATGCTGAAATGGCTTTAGCTTCTTTGTGCTGTGTGTTAACCTGCTGCACCACCAGGGAAGGCCCATTATTCTACGTTTACAGTTAAAAAGTATAGAGGTATAGAGACTTAGCAGCTTGAGCAGTTTTGTGGCTAGTAAGAGTGGGTCAGTCTTTGTACCCATGTACTGAGCTCCAAAGGGCTCTGAAAACCTATATCTTTTTTCCTCCAGTACTGAGTAATAGTTACATTTGTTGCATTCTTGTCTGAATTTTTCCCATCCTCAAACTTTAGAATTTTTCAATGATGTGGTAATGTTTTTAACAGTAAGTACTCCTGGAAAGATAATAGTCATCAGAATTTGAAATTCTGTGGAGAAGGGACTGAGTATATGAAGGGTTAGCACAAGTGTAAAAGTACTGAAGTGGGTACATGGTCATTATAGAATTATATTGTCTTTTGAGAAAGAAAATTGCTGTTTCAGGCTTGAAATTTTGACAAATTAACACTTTGAGTCTTCACTCAAGGGAGAAAGGATGCAGAAGGTCATGGTTTTGATATGACCTTTGTTAATCTTTTTGGCTGTGTTGTATAAGTATCTAATTCTTTGACCCTTTCTCATCTGAATTTTTTAAAATTGTGGTAAGACTGAAGTGTAAGAAACAATCAAGAATATGCTTAGCATTATAGTGTCACTTAAGTTGCGGCTAGGAAACCTTCTGTAAAACACAATGTAATCTTTTATACTAATTTAATAATGACTTTTTCATTGAAAAGTGATGGATAGTTTAGCTCTGGTGTCTTAACTTTGCCACTGCTTTGATTTTGCTCTTAGCTGCCTCTTAAAGTAATCATTTACTACTGCTATCATACCTGGGAAATAGATTTTGTAAGTGATTATGCCTCTTCCTTAAAAATAACTGACTTCCAGTTATTGTTCCAGTGTTGAACACAGAAACAGAAACAAAAATATTACTTAGAGAAGAAATGAGGTTGTGAAAAGAACTAGCTTTTGCCCTTAAACAAGTTAATCTCTCTGTGCTTCGATTTTTTTTACCTCTAAAATGGGATTAGTTTAATTTAATTTTTTTAGAGATATATTTATTTCTGCACACGGAATTGGGGTACAGGCCAGAGGTATAGGATCAGTAAGAGGATTCACCCAAGACAGAGAGGGGAGCAGAACAGGTCGACTGACTAAAGTACACTGCTAAGGGGAGCAGTGGGTGGGTCCGGAGAGGTCTGCTGTGCCATGTGGATCACTTCCAGAATGGGGATCGAACTCATGCTGAAATGGCTTTAGTTTTAGTGCTGTGCTTTAACCTGTTGTGCCACCAAGGAGGGCCTGGGATTAATCTTATTTTACAGGGTTCTTGTGAGGATTAGATGAATAAGTATTTGCAAAGTAGTCAGAATAGTTCCTCATCCTTAGTACTATATAAACATTACTGTTGCCACCATTTATTGAGTGCTTGTTTGCTTGTCAGACACAACGGGCCAGGCACATTTTACGCATCATCTGTATTCTCTCAAGCCTCTCTCTTTTTTAAAAAATGAAGAAGGTACACAGTTTGTGTTAAGATCTAAACCCATACCTCTCCAAGACCTGTTTGCTTTTCCCCACAAATCCATGGAAACTGTGTAAGTACTACAAAGACACATTAAAGTTGGGTGAACTAATAGTAGAAGGATCTGAAATTATGTAATTGCATGGACATCATTTTGAGTAAAGACTGCTTTCATGTTTATGTGACACCTCATGAAAATTCATAATTTTGATAGTAATAAAGCTATTTATGAAGTCATGTACACCTCTAGATAGTGATCTTTCATTGTGAAAGATGGATGTTAGATATTGGTGTTTTTTCATATAGGCTTATATGTGTAAGTGAGTCTTTCAAATTAAGTGGGGGTATGGGATGATCTGTAGTACATGAATATGCGCAGGACACAGTGGTTTGAAAAGGTGCTGTTATTACAATACTTGGGGAAAAGTCAGTTTGAAGTGGGCTGCAGTGAAAATACATTACAGGAGAATAGGCATTTTGTTTTGTGTTTGGGGATGTACTTATACTTCTCAGTCTGATAGGTGGTTTTGACTAGTGAGATAATTTGTGATTTGAGAAACATTTGGATTTGGATATTTTAATGAAAAATTAAGATGGGAATGTGTAAAGCTGCGGCACTTTCAGATTGATGAATAGTTAAAGCATTGCTGTGAGCCATGCCATCAATAGTTTGGCCTGTGAGATAACTTAGTCCTGAAAACTGATGTGTGATGACACTGATTGAAATATTAAAAGGCTTTAACATCCTGTGTGTAAAGTAAAAGTCTTACATTCTGTCTTATTTATTTAGCTAAATGTTACTGATGATATTGCTGACATTATTGTAGCTATCACATCTTTATGATGAAGATAGTGACTTGGAGAAAAGAGGGATTTTATCTCATAGGTATTAGTGGTAATGGACTTTGGTGGAAATAATGAAAAGCAAAAGAATCAAAATCCTGAAAATCTGCAACAATTTAGCAGTTGAGAGTCTTCAAAAAATTAGGCATTTCTCACTGCTTTAAAATGTATTCTCTAGGATGGAATATATTTTTCTTTGAGAAGCTCAGTTTTATTGGTCTTGCTTTATTGTTTGGAACATTACAAATGTCACAAACCCAATCTTCAGAGTATTTATACCATAACTTAAGGTTGGGGATATAGTCCTCTTCCTTATAAGATAGACATTTCAGTGATAATTTCTTTTAACCTTTCTGTAGCATGATGACAGAGATGATGGTGTGGATTATTGGGCCAAAAGAGGAAGAGGCCGTGGTACTTTTCAACGTGGCAGAGGGCGCTTTAACTTCAAAAAATCAGGTAGCAGTCCAAAATGGACTCATGACAAATACCAAGGGGACGGGATTGTTGAAGATGAAGAAGAGACCATGGAAAATAATGAAGAAAAGAAGGACAGACGTAAAGAAGAAAAGGTAGAAAATTTCAGTTTGTTAGTGACTCAAATAGATTTTCTTCCCTGTTGGTTTGGTGGGCTACTTACTTAATTATTTAATTTTTGGGAACAATATTTATTTTTACCGTTCAACCTTTACTTATATTTTCCTCTTGTTTTCTTTTAGGAATAATACATCTGGAGTGAGATTGCTACAGAGAGCAGAACTTGCACCCACCTTTTTTTTTTTTTTTTTACCTGATTTTTGTTTTCAAATAAGAATGTAAGCATTTTACTTAAATTTTACTGTTTGCAAGTAGCCTATAGAAATTTTGTTTTAAGTCCTCAAATATCTTGAAAATAGTAGACTGTATGTTGAAAATTGTACTGAAATAAAGTAGAAAATTGTTACGTACCATATTTGTAACTATCAACTTTTAAAAAAATTCTTTTACTGTTTTTGTTACATGCAATGTAATTCTGCTTTGTCTATAAGATATGGTCAAGTACAGCTTTGTGAAAGTTCTGATTCTCTTCCTCTTCCCTCCCTGTTTGTTAATGTTTATTCTGAAGTAAACGTTAGCTCTACATACAAATCCCTGAACAGAAGTTGTTTATAGAGACCACACTAATTATTTTAACTGAATGCATCTGTTTTAACATTTTCTTTAATTCAAACACACTACATTGTAGGGTGACTAATTTTTGAAGTATACCAAAGCAAAAAGTTGTTACTTTGGTAAATAAACTGAGGTAGTTTAATGTTTCAGCAAATGTTTAAGAGGGAAAAAAATTATTAATGGCTAAAACAGTATGACATACTAAAAGTTAGATTGAAATGTTTGAGAGGCTCCCCCCTCTCCCTCCAGTACTGAAAGCAAGCATTGGTGTAGATAAACCATTTATAGGAACCTTTACTATTTGGGTTCAAAGTTCAGTGTTCTTTTTATACTCTAAAGTTTGAGTCATGGTCTTAGCTAGGTATCAGCTATTTTTTGAGAGGAAATTGGTTTCTAAAATCCCATTCCTTCTGAATATCTTAAATCACAAACAAAATCTGTAATCCTGATGTTGGTATGAAGGAGGAATATTCTCCAGAAAATCTTGATACATTAAAAGAATGTACCTGAATTCATATCTTAGATATTTATTTCAGTTTGACAGCTAAAACGTTAGTTGTAGTCTAACCATAAGTAAAAAAAATAACCAGTACACTGTTCATTAGTAGTATTTTAAGCAATTTTTTGTTTTTACAAAGTCATCAATAAAGTTCTGACAGGAAGTTTTGCAGCATTGATTGAGCTTTTTTTCCCCCCTTAATTTCAGTAGAAGTTTGAAAAATGCCCTTCTTCCCAAGGTTTCTATTATCCAGGTAAATAATAATTACAGTGTGAATTACCTTTGTGTTTATGCTGGTAACTCTTTAAGAATGAAAATCTGAAGTGAATTTCAGTGTTAGTCTGTTCATAAATAATCACATTTCTTTGTTAATTCAGCAATTGAATTGTATATGTTTGCATTAAAAGGAGATAATGCTTACTCTGTTAGTGTAAACTTTTAAAAACCTTACATCTTTGATTCTTTCATCCTTCACTTGATGATTTGCAGTGCTTCTGTAGCACCTTGATTGCAGTCCCGAGGCATTAAGCTGATAGTTACTGGAGGGGAGAGGTGGGAGAAAGGAAAACAATGACCATTGGTCCTACCATGTTTTAGTATTGCATGATTTCTTATGTTAATGCCTTTCAGAAATTATTTTTTAGAACAGAGGAAATAGTGTCAAAGCAAGTATGTGTTGCATTAATCAAGACAATATTCCCTTAGAGAGAATAATAATTACACAGCAACATGCATTTGATTTCCAGCTCAGGAGGATTTTGGGGGAATATTTTATTTCATACAACTAAATTTAACCTTTATTTTGGTAGTAATTTGGTTAGACAATAAATCTGTGCTCACTTAACGTACAATTTTGCTTTTTTTACTTAAGACAATAGGAAAGGGATTTGTTGAGAAATCATTTAATAGGGAGTGGGAATAAAGTCAGCTAAGACCTGTTAGCAAGTTTTATTTGATGTGCAAATGCACTGCTTTGATCCAACTATATCCATGATTTGATTACTTTTTACTGTCTTTAACAAAATTTAGGAAAGCCTGTCATACCAGAACATAACATAGGAGGGATGATTGTGAGAACTCTGCAATAGAATGCCATTTGAATGTCACCTTTTTTACAGAGCCAAGCATTTAAAAAGTAGCCAGTGTGTATTTCTAAACCACAACTTCACATTTCATGACATGTCATAAAAGCTGAAAAATCTTAAGTTTTTAACTATTTTAAAAGACTTGTGTAGAGGAGGAAAGTAAAAATAAACCAAAGGATATTTTCAAAATATCCTTTAAGGATGTTTCCAAAGGCCATGACTTCAGTACTTAGGTGTGTGTACCTTTCAACAGTCTAGGGATTTTAATATAAAAAGCAAAGTATCTTTTTCCCATTGTAACCTTCTTTAAGGAGTTAATTTCTTTTGTCACAGTTAAAATCAAGTGTTGGGAATTAAATTGAAATAATTGAAAAAATATAACCCAATAAGAAAGAATGTAGATGGCTAAACGATTCTTACTCAGTGTGATGTATAATGCAACAGGGACTCTTGTAAATTGTCACATGCCAATAAACTGTCATAAGTGGTAATAGCTGTTGTTTGTTTATCTAATTTTCAGACTATTTCCATGTGTTTACTATAGAACTGATTTCTATGGCCTATCTAAATTTTAGAATATTAGCTTGCTTATTAATATGTGATTTAATTTGGGGAGGTGTTGATATTTTCTAAAAATCTCAAGTCCCTTTTTCTCTTGTTCCTTTCAGAAAATGGGATATTTTACAGTGGATAATTCTAAACTAGTACTATTGATAGAAAATTCCAAAGTTTTTAGTCTTGTCCTGATTTTCTTTGCTAGTATTAAAGGAACATATTAACCATAATATTATGGGAAAGTATTTTAAGAATCATTTGTTCTAATTCTTACCATGCCCTTGATAAGTTATTTGAATCAGTCTATCAGCTTTAAACAGAAATGTTGATAGAAATGTGTGTGCTAAGACAAATTATTTTAAAATTTTATTCCTTTACATATACCAAAGCAGAATGTGTTATACTGGTAAACTAAGCTAGTTTGATGTTTCAGCATGTTAAGGAAACATTTAAGACCTGTATCTATGCTTCCAAGGTACTGGGTAATTTTAACTTTATATACACATTACCTACATGAAAATATGAGGTCTCATTTATTTGGGACATTTATTTAACTTTGTGAAGAGCTTACATAGTGTGGCATTTTTCTCTGGGTTTCAGGTGAAATCCTCTTGAGATGAAGTTTCTGTTCAGAAAGAGAAGTAGAGTCTTAAATAATTGCTAAATGGGGAAGGCAAATGGAGAAATATCATTGCCATGAGTTTTGATTTTAGCCAGACTAAGGCACTAGTCAAAATACAGGTACATAACATCCCTTAATTTTCAGACATTTTTATTGTATGCATATGTTTCTCAAATAATTGAAAATTATTATTGAATTTGGACTGAAGTTTAATTGTTCAGTTTATTGTGGGTAGGTAATAGAAATTAGAAGCCCACTAATGAAGTTTTAAGTGAACACAGTTCGTTAGGTTTCTCAGAATTTAGGACTATTTTCTTTATATGGAAATTTAAATTTTGTTAGATTGTCTTGGTTTAAGAGCTGGATGCCCTGTTTGTGTGTCAGCTATGATAACAATGCTGTGCTTAATTTAAGTATGCTAGTTCTCTCTCTTTTTTAAAGATTTATGCAAATAGAACTGGGGTTCAGGCCCAAGGATGCAAGGTTGTTGAGAGGATTTACTAGAGATGGTGGGGAGCAGAACAGGCAGATCAACAAAGTACACTGCTGAGGGGAGCAGCTGGGTGAGGCAGGAGAGGTCGGCTGTACCATGTGGATCACCTGGAGTGGGATGGAACTGGTACTAAAAGTGGTTGTGGCGCACCTGCAGTACTGCACTTTAACCCACTGCTCCACCAGGGAGGGCCAGGATATAGTCTTCTAAATAGCACTGAGACAATTCTTCATTATTCCTGAGAGGTTCCAAGCATAGAACAGAAGAAAAGCTTGGAGTGTTGATGTTTCTATTCTATCTCAAATGTAAAACATATAAGTGAATTGTCTGGGTGTATATTGTCTGGGTGTATGCATTACAATTTAGAAATAACCTTTCATCAGACACTTAATGGTAAAGATCTAAGAGGCTGTCACTTAGAATGTATTTACCTCATTACTGTTAGGGTGAATTGAGTTTAATTCAGGCTTTTACTACAAGATTAATAGGATTCTAGATAGTTGGCAAGATTGAGTATACCTGTTTCTAAAGCCTTTGTCCAAATCTCCAAATTTCATTTGTGAATTTAGTGAAAAACTGTTGTAGGTGAAGAGATCAACAAAAAGTTCTTGTTCATCCAGAACATGGTGCAGTTATAATGTATCAACAGGGATTTTGAGAAAATGATAAAATAACATCAAATACCAAAAATAACAAAACCAGGTCCTTACAGATAGCAGTTAAAGGAGGTGATATGCTTTTTCTATGATTACCCTCAATATTTATGTAATGAACTTTATATTTTCTGGTATTGGTTTCCTGTGGAAGAGTTGGAGTAGTATCTGGCAGACTTGGGGGAGAATCCCTAATTTACCAACTGAAACTGGTGTTTTGTCCTTCAGTAGTGAGTGCAAGGTACCCATAGTAAAGATTCAAGAGACTGCAACAGTTCAACCCAGTGAAATCTCCAGACACCTTCCAAAATTACGAATTAGGGAAAAGGATCACTGACGACAAATTAACGTGGGACCAAGTTAAGCGGGACAGAGACAAGACCTAGATCAAATGGGTACAATCCTGGGAAGCAAGATATATTTCTGAACACTTCAAAAATGAATGTTACCACAGAAAAGCTTTTCTGAGTTCATGTCATCCAAAAACTTGAAAATAATTCACATCAAAGTGATCAATAAGGCCTTCCTTGGTGGCCCAACAGCTTAGGATGTAGCACTGCAAGCTCACCACAGCTGCTTCAGTGCGGGTTCTGTCCTCCCCTGAAGGTGACCCACGTGGTGCAGCAGACCTATCTTGTGTGCTGCTCCTCTCAGCAGTGTACCATTAATCTGCCTGTTCTGCTCCCCACTCTTGTCTCTGGTGAATCCTCTCACCATTCCTGCACCTTTGGCCTGTACCCCAGTTCTGTGTGCATAAATAAATCTTAGTTATCAATAGAAAACTCAAATTTCATAGATTTAGGAATACAGTGTTTTGAATGAATTAGTGAATTGGAGGAAGGTTGAGTTTTGGGAAAAGTTGTCAAAGGGATTAACCCAAATGCCCAAAAATAGGTGACTGGATCAAGATGATGTATATATACACAATGGGATATTTCTCAAGAAGATGTACGTATACCTATAGAACATTACTCAGCAATCAAAGAAAGCTAAACTCATGCCTTTCGTGGCAACATAGATGGAGCTGAAAGGGATCAATGATGAAAAGTCATGTACTGTTTCTCATTATAGAGAGGCTGGGAAGAGTGGAGGTTTTAGGGTAATGACTATTTACTAGCGTTACAGGGCAGAGAGGGGCACCCCTCAACCCCCAAACCTGCCTGCTCTAAATACGTTTTGCCATCCACTGCATCAGACACGTGTCTTGAGCATTAATGGAAAGAAACAAATATAAAGTGCAATACAGAAAAGAATATAGTTTCTAAATCAAACACCCAAAGTACTTGCCCTCTTGTGGGTGAAAGTCCACTCAAAAGGGATTGGCCCAAAGTAAGGCCTGAAGGCCCATCACAAGTCTAAATCACCTGGTGGGGACCCGTGGAAAAGGGTCAGAAATGGCCAGACAAATGTGGGGAGAAGAGAGTAAAACCAAAAGATAAATGCTGCCATAGTCAACCTATTTCACACGGGTCTCACCCGTGGATCTGTTTCTGTTACAGGACACCAAGTCTTGTTACAGGACAGGGAGAGAGGGAAAACCCTGAAGCCCCAAATCTGTTTCTAAGTGGGTTCTGCCATCCGCCACATCAAGACAAAACATATAAAACTTTAATGAAAAGGGACTTTAATACAGTAAATATACAATATGGAACACAAAGAATGTAACTTCTAAATCAAAATACTTGAAGTTACTCATCCCCTAATACAGTAAATATACAATACGGAACACAAAGAATGTAACTTCTAAATCAAAATACTTGAAGTTACTCATCCCCTAATACAGTAAATATACAATATGGAACACAAAGAATGTAACTTCTAAATCAAAATACTTGAAGTTACTCATCCCCTCGTGGGCAAAAAGTCAACCCAAAAGGGTTGGTCCAAAGCAAGACCTGAAAGCTGGCCGGGACCCATGGAAAAGGGTCAGAAATGGGCAGACAAATCTGGGAGGAAAAGAGCAAAATCAAAATCAATATAAACTCTGCCATAGTCACCTCCCTACAGGTATCTCACCCACATCTGCTTTAAACATTACGTGCCAACAAGCACGGTTTCTTCACCACATGTTTGCTGCTCCATGTGGCTTCCTCAGGTCTCCTTGTTCTCCATCCCACTTCCTTCTCTTCTGATTTTCTTCTTTCCTTTTTCTCTGCTCAGCTCCACCCTCCTCCTGAGTGGGGCAGGGAACCTGCAACTTCCCCTTTTTCTGGGGACCACCCTGTTAACGCTAGGAGGAAAGGGAAGGGTAAGAAACTAGAGAAAATTGTAATTTCTAAATCGAAAGGGTTGATCTATTTGCTCCTTTTACATTGTTGTCACCCCTCCTGACCGGATTTTCATCCTTGTATCTCAGACCACTGGATCTGAACTTACAATCTCGACTGCTCTGCCAGTTGTTTAGTTTAAGCCATATTCAATTCGAATAGCGAATGCCTGCTATATACCAGACATTTGTAAGGCACCTGCAAAACACTGGAGATAGTTCTGGAGTTTACAGTAGAGTTTGAAGGCAGGGGAAGCATTAAGTATACATGGTTGACATGCATAATAAACCAAATAAAGAATAATAAACCATGGGAAAAGGCTTAGTTCTTCTGGTCACATGACTTTAGATATTCGCTGAATGAACTAATGATCAACAATAAAATCACGACTGCGTGGCATTCTGAGAAGAGCGGCACCGTTTCCGGTTCCTTAACTTGCGAAGACGTGTGGGGGTGTGAAGTCCCGCTACTAGCCGGGCTCGAGCCCATACACAGACCCATAATCCCGGACTCTACACGCATCTTTGAGGGCGCCGGGGAAACCTAGACAAGCAGCGTGCGTTCGCGTCACTGTCCCAAAACCGCCTTCCCGCCCGGCCGCTGTCCTAAGCTCCTGTTGGCTGCCTCGTGAAGTGCCCGCCTTCCTAAGTGGTGCGAAAACCCCAATGAACTGGCTCATTTAACCGTAACCAATGAGTGACGTTAACTCACAGCCAATCACAGGCAGCGACCGCCACCTTGCCCAAAGAGGTCGGCCCAATGAGGTCGGTCACGGGTGGTGGCCCGCGGAGTTTGATTTTCCGCCCCGGACGCGGAAGTAGGTTGGTTAGTTGGGAACCGAGCGGAGGCGAGAGCAAGGGCTGCAGTGCGGGGTCCTTACCGCTTGTGGCCGGCGAGCCCGGCGTTCCGCGGACTGGGATCGACGTCCGATCGCTCCAGAGAGCGACTGGCGCGCCGGGCGCCTGGCCAGGATCCCGAAGCAGGCTTGGATCACGCCCCCAGCCCGCTTCCTGGGGCTGGCGTGGGCTGGAGTCCGAGGAAGGTGAGCGAGGAGATCTTGTCGGTTTGCAGAGCCCGGGGAAGCTGGCGGCCACGGCAGTGACACCACAGGGCGCTAGTCTCACTGATCCAGCAGTTGGAGAACCTGTTGGAGTTTTCATATAGACGAGGAAGGGTGGCAGGTACTCAGGTTTGTGAGCAAGAATTACTCGTCATTTTCTTAAACTTTAGATCGCGCCTGCCTGCGTTCAAAGGTGGCCGGAACCCACCCCTCGTAGTCTCAGTGCAAAGCCCAGGAGAGAGGGAGGTTCCCCTGGCTCAACTGTTGCCCTGTTCTGTGTCCAGTTAATCTATTGTTGAGTGGTGTTAACTGTGCCCTCTCAGACTAAACACCTTACGAACTTTTAATTGCAATTTAACACATTGTTTTCTTTACCAGCCCTTCACTACTCCCCGATGTCTCTTTCTGTTTGACTTCTTACGAAACAATGGTGGCTGTAAGAGAGGGGCTCTTCCAGGTTATTTAATACGGTTTACATGGCAACTATTATTCAAGAATATTTTCTTTCTTTTTCTTGAAGGTGTCAAGGCACCCATAATGTTTCATTGAATTTGCCTTTGTATTGACTTCATCGATGTCTCTCCTATTGCATATCCTAAGAGAGATGCTGGAATATTTTGGTGTTCCCAGAGAACAGGTAAATGTCTTTTAACGGATTTGAATGAACTTGGACAGGGAACATACATAAATGAGAGTTGGAATATGGGTTTACACTTCTTCAGCTAATATCACACCACCCCAGGCCCACCAGTAAAGCACCAGCAACCCAATGGACGAGGTGAAGGATTACAGTGCTTTGGTGGTGGGCAATGGGTGGTGTGGTAACATCTGTAGAAGTGTGAATCTACACCCCCAAATATACACAGTGTTCTAAACCTTTGCTACCTCAATTAAATATGATCCATTAAAAAAAAAATCTTAGAAAGAAGATAGTCAATAGTAGAATAGAAATGAGAGATGGTAGAAAGATTTTTGAATAGAGAGAAATTGCGTATTCCATTTTCTCAATAAAGCAGAGATAAGGCCCTTTTGCAGACAATGGAAGTGACATTGGGAATTTCAGAAATTAGCCGCAAGTCACCATTAAGTAACTAAAATGTCTAAACTAAGATGTGCAACGAATTTTGGAGACAGTTTGAAAGGAAAAATGTAATTTTAACTTGTTGATTACATGTTGAAGTAAGTCTAAATATTGAGTTAAAGTATATTAAAGAAATTTGTCTACTTTTTCAAATACGTAATTAAAAAATTTAATTTACAAGTGTGGCTTGTATTTTCTTTCTTTTGGACAGTGCTCTCTAAGGTGGTTCTAGTATAACCATATTGAAAACTGTTGCCTTGAAGGATTCAAAGGGAATCCTGCCCACAGAATTCATAATCCAATGGGGGATAAGAAAGCTGCCCTGAGACAAAGTCACATGTTATTGTGTGCTTGGTACTACTTACTGGAACTAATTTTAGAAATTCAGAGCTTGGGAAACCCATGAGAGTAGAAATAACCAAATTTGTATAAGAGTGCAAATCTGACCTTAACAGACGGGTGAAGACTGAATCCCACTGGGGCTAAAGTTGCTTGGCAGTGAGGATAGTATGTTTGTGTTAATCTGTGGGAAATTAAGTTAGATAGAATCCAGTCCAGTTGCAGAGGACTTTACAGCATGGTTGGGAATTGAATATGAAATGCATAGTGTATGTTGTTAGCTGGCAGAATTGAGAGAAGATTGATTCAATCAGCATTTAGTTTTAGATCCAGGTATTTGGATGTGGTCAGATAAATTTAGTGCCTTTACTGTTTCAAAGCAATAAATAAATAAATTTTAAAAAAGTAAAAGTAAAACAAATATCAAAGAGACAGCATGACTTTTGGCAGAAGGATTCTATGTGCTGGTGTTTTCTGCATCTGTCTCAACTAGGCCTGTGTTGTGTACTCTGTATGCTGGTGATTCCCAAATCTATGTTTAATCCCAATTTTTCTTCTGCAATCTACAATGGTTGTCCATCTGCTTGTATATACTGCTTGTTGGCTGTTTCCTTGAGGATACTAAAAGGATGCTATTGATATCTGTTGTTCATAGAAAACTATTCTTTTTATGGATCTTAGGAACAATGAAAAATCCAGTTTTCAATACATTCTTTCTATTAAAATCTCTGCCATAAGAATAAATGTTACATCATATTTTGGGAGATACCTGTGTGAAGACCTTATGCCAACATGGGAAGCCTGAGTCCAAAGACAAAATATTACTTGAATTATAGTAGCAGATTTCATTTTTATTATCTTTTTTTTTTTTTTTTGAGAAATGAGAAGTGAGGCTGGATACCTGTGTGAAGACCTTATGCCAACATGGGAAGCCTGAGTCCAAAGACAAAATATTACTTGAATTATAGTAGCAGATTTCATTTTTATTATC